GAATAAACATGGTTTATATACATTATGATTTGGTCTTGCTACTAAACTATCTTAATTGGTTTAGCTTCTTCATTCGCATAGTGGGTTTCGTAGAACGTGGGTATAGACAATTCTATATGAAGTTCAGGTCAATTATGTTGTCTAGACTGATATATTACCTAGTTCATACAACACAATACAACCAAAACATTTAACTTTTAAGTTGAAATGATAGATAGGAGTTTTAACTCAAGTGGGATGTATTTGGTTTTACTGTATACTCCAAATTCAATGATTTAATTGCAAAGATTACATTGTCGCTCTTGACAACACTGGACATTTCATTTGAAATGAATTTGAAATAACAGCTTAGAGAGTAAAACAGTTGAACTTTCATCCTTTGAGTCATAGGTTCAAACCTCTGTCCCACTTACTATAATTTAGACTATTGAGTAGTAGTAACGCAAACTATTACACCCAAAATTTAAGCGATGACACGAGGGTTTGTGGAGATCATCGAATTTTATAAATAACATCGCGGATTGATATGAGTTAAACAGTCAATGAAATTTAGGAAGAAGCCGGGGTTAGATCCTCATGGAGATCATGGATGCACATTGCTGAGTACTCCCATATTGAAACGAGATAGATATTCAGTATTTCCTAAATTTCAATCGTTACTTTTTAAAAAAGTTAATTAATCATATTGACCATAAAATTAATAATAATCACTGTTGTATACTTAACTCCACCTGGAGCTCCTCTGAAGCTACTGCCGGTCCCAAGCCCGGGTAAAGGAGGAGGGTTGAGCATGGGGTTAGCGACCCCATCCTGTAGAAAACTAACTCGCTAAACAAAAACGCTAGCCAGAAAGTAAGTACCGTTTTATACTTACATCAATAGTATGTGTACTTGATTCATCAATTGGGATATTCAAACGATTTTCTTTATTTTCATATTCTTCATAATGTTTATGAAGTAAATGATGAATTTTTTCAAGTGTTTCTTCTACTTTATCATGAGCTGATTGAATTGTTTCCAATGACTTATCATTATTCAATAAATTTGGATATTCTTGACGAATTGATAAAATTTTATCAACTAATTGATCCAGATATGCATCGGTTAATACATTAGCAAAACCTTTAGATTTTTGTAAAATTTTATTGAATTCCAATGATGAAGATGATGATGATGATGATGATGAAGAGAATGGTGGAAGTTTCTTTCCCAAATGATCAGCCTTTCATCCATTCAATACAAAATAAAAAGTACGTTTCTTATACATCTTTTTTTTATCAAGTTATATTTATCATTATCAATAATGCTTGAAATGAATTGAGGAAGAGTGAAATACCTTAGAGTTAACAAGAAGTTAATATAAATTCACTTGATGTTGTTTTATTTGTATCTTCCAATTGTTAATTAGGAATGAAATTGATCAGTCTCTTGTTGGCATATGTGCTTCTTGCTTTAAGTCACAAGCTCTTTAAGCAAAGATGGATAGTGGCTAGCAGTGGAATCTAGTTTGACGCGTGTTTCGTCCTATCTAGGATTCGTCAACTGGATGTGCCTCCGGGACTCGAACCTAGTACGTTCGCTTCAGATGCCATCGCGTTATCCACTTAGCTACTGAGTCTTGATAGCCACCTGCTTGTGCAATGTGGTAAAGTTTAAGTTCACTAGGTGTTGTTTTTACTTGTATCTTCCCATTGCTATTTAGGACTGTAATTGGTCAGTCTCAAGTTGGCATATTTGAAATCCTATGCGGTTTGCCTCGATATAGCCCAAATTCACAAGCTTTTTAAGCTAAGAAACGCGTGTCCTGGATTCAACTGCTAGCCATTATTCATCTTTGCTTAAAGTTATTAGGCTCATCAGTAAATTCATATTGTGGGCTTTCAACAGCTAATGATATTAATTAATTAATCAAAAAGAGATAAACAGAAGTTTTTTTCTTAAAAGAAAACCTATATGTTATGACTTTATGTTCGGCTTTTTATCACGTGGTTTATCCGCCAATCAAAATACGACCTAAACAATCTTAGCACTGTGCCAAACCAATGACGTTCGACCGGTATGAGCAGCCTAGAGTCCTTATTGGTCCTATGTCCGCCTAGCCCGTCCACTTGAGTCCAGAACACCACATACCAGCTTCCAATATGCGAATCGAATCATTTATTTCAGACATACTGGGTTTATATATCAAACAAACAGACCGCAATGCACCATAAAATACGAAATAACATTTGTATACAATAAAGCCAAAAAGTGCCTATGAACATGGGAGACTGTAATCAATAAAGTGAACATAACCTAAGAACCGTAAATCGTTTAATAATAAATTATAGGTCAAAACAAAGCTTATAATAAGGGGAATATAAATATACATAATCTAATTGTTGAATAGTTATACAATAAGAATATTTATAGAATATTAGTCCATTAATAGTCCTCGAAAGTTACTCGTGATTTAATCTTCGTTCGGATATAACACTATAGTGAATAGTAAATTATCCAGCGCTTAATGAGCAATGGATTGGTGATTAAGGCATTCGACTTTTAGCTAATAAGTCGAAGATTTGAAAACTCCACCTCAGTCACCTTGTTTTGAGTGACTGAATGAATATCAGCAACCTTTACATTTAAAGTATGGCTTGAAGCCAAGTATGTGTATCTGTTACTATGTAAATAAGTTAGATAATGTAGATTATCATCTGAAGTGATTCAAGAGTACATAGAGGATTTTACAAACACTATTTACAAGAAACTATGATTATTGTACAATAAAACATAACAATCATTGTATAAATGGTTAACATTAAAATAAAAGAAAAAGTCATTACAAATTATTTATCTACTGAATTTAATTTGTAAGGATTTGAGTTATTGATATTCTTAACAAAAATTTTGATCAATTTTAGTTGGCATTCAATTGTTTAGTGTAAAATGCATTTGGCGTTCGAAACCAAACATGCCGAATTCGAGTTCAATCATGAACATGAATACTAGGATGTAATTACATTCAGCTGATCAATCCCAAGTAGAACAGAACGCACATCCTGTATTCCACTAACACATCAAACTAGAAATTAATAATCTACTTGATAATGAATAGGCGAACTGTTTCCATCCCTAGCAATACTGGTCACAGTAAAGACTGTATCATAAGAACAGAGGACTAATAAATTGACCAGTCAAACAACGGTGCCAAGGCGATTATAAGTATCTGTAATCTCGGAAATAAATAGATTCTATCTATTCAAATTTAAGCACCGTAGATTAGATGTTCCAGACTTACTTACGCTCTATCAATAGTTCACAAATAGATTGTAGCTAATAACCTGTAATTGTTAAGTTTTAAATTATGCTAAATCACTTAACCTTCTGAACAGGCTATATCTCTAAAATTTCCGTTGGAGATCTTAATCTACTTCAATATTATAATTCACCACTGACCATTATAACTTCTTAAAGTACGCCGTTAATTTTGATTCCTAATTATAATATAGTGAGTGAAAGGTGAAAATCAACTCAAAGACTGATACTACTTCTTAGTTTGGCCGCCCCTAGCTATCATTCAGCCTAATCCTACAGCAAGAAGCACTGCACAACGAGATAAGAAGTGGTTGGGTACACTATGATACACGTGTCAACCATCTCAGTTTATGAAGATTCACTACCTCATCAACCGATTTCTTATCTTTATCTATTACTATGAGTTTAACCTTAATATGGCTCACTTGAAGGTTTAAGTTTACGTAGCAGAATGGCAAACGTCTGAATGACTCGATGTATAACGCTAGCAAAAAAAAGCAGAGGTGCGATTATTACATAAACAGCAACCAAATAGTATATACCTCCTTACATAGATTAGTTTAATGGTCAGCAACTTCATCGACTAACACTATACCTACGTTTAGTCAACATAACTTTCTTGCAATCTACTTCAACGCCAATCATAAGCATACAGAATACTATTGTAAGTTTGTTGAAGACAGGAAACACTTTTTTTCTCACATATATAACAATATACCCTTTTAAAGTTTATTTTATTTATTTATTTATTTAAACACATAAACATTGGTACAAGGAGGCACCAAATACATATGCGACAAACAAATCTCATTCGATATGCGTGAGTGCTGTGATACTGTCCGGGTGCCCAGATCGAAGCAGATGGTTTCCTTAGGGGGGGCACTCCCCGAGACTTTGACCTTAAGGTCTGACCCACAAGGCAGGGGAGCATCGTGAGGAGATGCAGTCCCATGGTAGCCGTTGACCAACAATTGGTTCATACGCCATTTGTTCCCTCAGGATACTGGAGCCCATGTGCACCATTGGTTCGGAATCCGGTTAACGGGCCGGACATTCGCTTCTCGTCCTCTCAATTTCGTAAACAACACCCCCGCCACGAGAAGGCAGTAATTAGGACTTCCCTGGCAGAAACTGTATACGCGTGGCCGTGTGAAAGCATTTCGAGGGGGGAGGGCGGGCCCATCCCACTCTCCCTTCTAAAAATTCATGATACAACGATACAGGAACAAACTCGTAAAACAACAACAAACAAACAACCGTAACTTAAAAAGAAATCTATGTCATTGTAGACTGTTTGTATTATCCATGTATATTGAATGGTACAAAAGTAGAAACATATTTAGAATAATATTAAATAATACTTTATAACAAAATAAAATTGATGACCGGTTAGTTAATAGGCTATTTAATGAACAACTTAGACATACACATATACATACAGGGGAGAAAGGGATGATCAATCTAGTATGTGTTTATTTTTCCGTAGAAAAGATGAAATGCAAATGAAACATCGTGAGAGAGAGAGGGGGGAACGAAACAAACAAAACAGAAACCATGTAACCTTTTACAAAATGGTTATCTTTTACAGAACAGAATATGAAGTAACAATACATATACTCACACAAATACATACAAAGATCCATGATATATATAAGCATATAACCACATAACTATTATAATATAGATAAATCTCAATCATTTATTCATTCAATAATGATTAAATCATCATCATCACCATCATCGTCGTCAGCAACTGGTACAATAATAGGTGATGATAATGTTGTCAATTCTTTATCAAATCGTAATTTCTTCTCTTTGATTCTATTCATATTGTCTTGATCATCACAACTGATTGTGTCGAGAAATTTACGTTTATTACTATTACTATTAATACTAGTATTATTATTAACACCATTTTCCAAATCTTGATTTAAAGTAGTCATAGATTCTTCAGTAATTTCAACTAAATCATCCTCTGTATCAACATTATTGTTGTGAACAAATTTATCTAAGAGAAATAGAAGAAGAAGAATAAAAGAGAAAAAATAAATTAGAATATCTAGATAAAAACATTTTAGATAGACGCTCTGAGATCGATGTCATACTTCTTAAAATCAGTCAGTCAATTAGTAACAACGTAGAACTTCGTACATACGTACATCAGTTCGAGTTGTCATACAACATTAGCATAGAGACGCAATTGTCAATTCGAATCCCATAGTGGTAGAGGTAGTGGAAGTATAAGTAGTAATCGTGAACATTTTGGTTTGAAGACGTTATTCAAGGAGTATAATCCAGTCAAATAAATTCGGAAAGAGAAAAAAGAAAGGGACATGAACAGCTCTTTAGAATGATGCAACTGAGAACGTAGATTAATGCCTGTGTATTATTCATGTTTACATTAAATTCTAAGAAAGTCCTGCTGCAACTAGAACTATGTGTTGAGAGTATTTTTATACAAACTAAATAGTGAAAGCTGTTGATATGGAGAGTTCACTTAGGTTAACTGATATATTGTAATTTCAAACTAATATTCCTATAGATTGTCTCAAAAATCCTAAGGAAACTAAATGTGGAAAAATGATTTGAGCCTGTTGGTTTATTTGATACCAATATGTCAAGTACTTAGGCGAGTAAATCATCTAAAACTCTTAGATGATAAGATCATCTATTTATCTAATAGGCTAATTAAATTCACTGTAATCCTCCTATTACACGGTGGCATGTCACAGGACATGTACTTACAAGCTATTTCACTAAATATTTTTAGATAATATTCAGGTTAGAAGCCGTTGAGACAACAAGTATCAGTAAGTCAAACATAACGTAGAACCAGCTACGTTTGTACATCGGTATAAGTTCCCATACTCCATTATCACAGAGAGATGTGGTTGTTAAACAAATTCCTGGAGTTGTAGAGGTAGTAACAGTATTAGAAAAGATTGGACATCGGAAATACAAATTATTGACAACATGTATACATTTCCAACTCAGCAGAGTCAGCTTTTTAGGTACAGTAATAATAATGGGATCTAGATTTTCATTATGCCCGATTCTGCGTTGCCGGAGTTAGGCATTACTAACATAGTGTAGTCATTAAATATAAGTGATCTTCTGAAGATTATGATATCCGAAAATATAAATATCGAGTCTTTTAAATTCGTAGAGGTCAGGTTTTGAAGGCACAAACCAGGACTGTGGGTACAAACACGTCGCGATACTAATGTTTTGTGACTAGGCTAAGCTGCGACAAAACGAAAAGTATTTAGGGTAAGGGTTGCTATCAGTCTTCTAAAAGTACTTTACACTTTGACGTAATAAAGTATATTCCAAAAATACAGACAACGGTTACCGACTGATTAAGAGCGATTTGTGCAGCTTGGATTTGTTATATCCTAGTGAGGATTAAATTAAGACTTCCGAGAACCATTATTGGACTAATATTTTTATTGTATAACCGTTCAGTAACTAGATTAAGTATAACTATATTCCTCTTATTATAGGCTTCATTTTCACCAATAGATTATTATTAAACGATTTAATGTTCTTAGGTTATGTTCAGTTTATTGATTACAGTCTCCCAGGTTCATAGGCACTTTCTAGCCTCATCATGTATAAATGTTATTTACTATTTTATGTCATGTGGTCTGTTTGGCTGGTACATAAAACAAGTATGATTGAAATAACTTATTCGCATAGTGGAGGCTGTTGTTGACGTTGCTGGACTCAACTGGACGGGCTAGGCGAACAATGGACTAATAAGGGCGATAAACTGCTCATACCGGTCGAACGTCATCGGTTGGCACTGAGTTGCCCCTAAATGCCCTGGTACGGCCGAGAGTGGGAAGAGTCCTCTCTCCCTCTCCAAATGCTCTCACATGACCACGCGTATATAGCCTCTACCAGGGAATTCCTACTTAATCCCTTCTCGCAACACCGGTGTTGTTTACTAAATTGAGAGGAGGAAAGGCGAATATACGGCGCTATAACCGGGTTAGTGGACACGGATAGTCCACCTAGGGAAGTTGGAAAACCTTCACTCCAAACCAATGGTGCACATGGGCTCCAGCGTCCTGAGGGAACAAATGGCGTATGAACCAATCGTTGGCCACTGGCTACCACGGGACTGAATCTACTTACGTTGCTCCACTGCCTTGTAGATCAGACCTTTAGGTCGAAGGCTCCGGGTGTGGCCCCTTAAGAACACCACTTGATTCGGTTTGGGCACCCAGGCAGTATCACAGCCCTCATATATGTCAAATGAAATTTGTGTGGTGCATATGTATTTGGTGCCTCCTTGTACCAATACCTATGTGTTCAAATAATAAATAATAATAATAATGGCACTGAGTTAGTACTGAGATTGAATAAGTCGTATTTCGATTCGTGAATAAATCACGTGATAACTAGCAGGACTTTAAGACACAACAGTATCTTACACTAGACAATTTTCGAAATGAAATATACAAGTAGCATATTTACATTGCTGTGTACAACTTTTTATAAGCCCTTTCACAAAGTACTATTCATAATGAATTTGAAATATGATAACACTGAGTAAAACTGTCCAACAAACAAATCAAGAATGAAAATATTTAGTACCGGGTACCAATCATTTAGGAAACAATGATAAGTCATTTGAAGATATCGTCATTGATTGCAGCGGTTACAATATGTTGCATTTGTGTGTGTGTGTATAGTCACAATACCATTTTTAACGTCTCATGTTATTAGCTATGTTATCTTACCATTTGCTTAAACGACAAACAAAAATCATTAAGATAACCTAACTAATTTCCAAATACTTATCCAAAAATATATATAAATATGTTCTCTTAATACCTGTATTTTCATTGTTCTCTATTTCAGCATTCTTTTCTGATACTGTATTATCTTTTGAATTTGATAAAATGGAATTGATATCACCTACAATTCTCCATATTTCAGATTGTTGTTCTTCATTATTAAATTGCTCTGTTAAACGACTATCGATATTAAAGTTTAATGTTGACGTTGATGTTGATGAATCAGACGGATTAGGTAATGCATTAGCCAATTCTACACTAATACATGATAAAATAAGTTGAATGGTAAAATCTTGACGAAAATCATCACATTGTAAACAAGTTCCATGTGTTAATTTAAAGTCAGCTAATGTTTTATTTAACGTCTCTGAAATAAGAAGAAAAAAAACAAGAAAACAATTGACAATAGCAAAGTATTACCAGTGATAGGATCAATAAAACGAGATAAATTAATCAAATTGTGATGATATATATATTTTGTACTGTTTTATCTAACCTACTAAACTAATTAATTAATTAACGTAAAACCTAGGATCTCGTATTAACACCAATCCTGTTAAGTAATTTAGAAGTAGTCAAATGTGGTGGCAAATCAATTGATGAAGTAGTGAAACTTCATCAGTTGAGATGGCTGGGACACGTGTTACGTATGCCCAACGACCGACTGCCTCGACGTACTATGTTCAGTGGTATAGGAGTAGGTTGGAAGAAAGCAAGAGGCGGCCAAACCAAAACATGGCACAAGTCCATGAAGTCACTGACAAGTGAGCTGAGTCATGTTGGTAGGTGTAGATCACCTGGTTGGGGACCGCGAGATGATAGCAACCGATGGTTAGAGGCCCTGAATGACATGGCTCAAAATCGTTTGCGATGGCGCAGGTGCAGGTCCTCACTTTGTGTTCTCTCAAATTCTAATCTTCTGAATTCTTCATGTCCCTTTTTTCCTCTTTCCAAATTTATTTCACTGAATTATACTCTTTAAATAACATCTCCAAACCCTAATGTTTCCGATAACTGCTTATACTCTTACTACCTCTACCACTACGAGATTTGAATCGACAACTGCATCTCTGTGCTGATGTGGTATGGCAACTCGAACTGATGTACGTACGTACGAAGTTCTACGTTGTTACTGACTGACTGACAGAAGATCAGTCACAATTAAATAACTCACTAGTAACATCTAAGATTGTGAAGTTTGATGACGCAGGTTCAAACCATGCAATAAACATCAGTTTCCTCATAATCGCATATACACGTTGATGATGGATGCTAACTAGCAGAGAAATTGAGTTCAAGGTTTCTTGTTGACCATAGTCAATCATGCGATTTCGATTCACTAAGACAAGTGGCGACACTGTGACTTGATTAAGAGAATTCAATCAGCCTTAAACGACAAGACACTAATATGTGTGAAAGGTATTGTGAGTATTCGTAAAAGTTAGTATTCTTCTGTTATAGGTGTTAAGGATTGAATTTCAGATGTGGATCCTAATGTTGGTCACAATGCAAATGTACTGAAAAGCTATGACAACATAACCAGTGTCATAATGTACATATCCCAACAAAAACTGATCAAAATTCGCTATGTCTTTTGTAATTTAACTGGACAAGATCATCGAAAACCTTATAAACACCAACTTTAAAATAACAGAGATCTACAGCTCAGGTGGATGATGATATTGACCAGAAAGGTAATGAAACATACATAGTTAAACTAACTTGTTCAAAGAACAAAACAATATCATAGACACTTAACTGATTTTATAATCTATGAATATGTAATAATCAGTTCAATTTTCATTGTTTTACCCGTACAAAGTAGCCAGGGTTAAGGTTATCATCAATTAATAAACACGTACAGTACTTTTCATATATCAAGTTATGTGATCTATGAAATTATTACTCTAGTCCTTAAGCAGTAGTAAATCACAATTTCACAATTTTTTTCCATGTGCCAATATGTCGGTAAATGTAAAGTAATCCTCCAATCATTTTTTTACAATTATACGAATTACTTAAAGCTAGATACATATACGTGTAGTAAATTTACTGAGAAAGAAATTAGATCAAGTACTCAAATTGTAATGGAGACAAGAGATAAACTAACCTTCATCTGTTTCATCTTCTTCACTTGATATTAGTATAATGCCACGATCAGGTACCTCGACATCTGGAGCAAGCATACCTAAATGTCGTACCAAGATACGATCACGTAGAATACGCAATGTTAATAATTCCGGTGCACAGAGTAAATGCAGTTGAGAATTTCTAACAGAATCACTACACACTAAACAAGATGGATTCGGTAGTGCTGGTTCAACAGGGACTACAAGACGACGATTGCCACGTCGACCAGTTGGTCGACGATGTATGTAAACAGTACGAATACGCTAGAAAATAATAATAAAAATGAGATGGAAAGAAACTTTTATTGTTAACAACTTACTGAATGAATTATAAAACTAGTTATTACAGTGTTTGATGTATTGGATCACGACAATAACAAACGCGAAATGTTGCACAATGACAGTCAATGTACAACAGATTATACTGCATATACAGTAACAAACACAATTCTTTACAAGTACAATAAAATATATTAAAATTATTTCACCATCAATAAATTAGTGAAAAACTGTCATCGTTGACAAAAGCTCCAACAAGATACTACTAATTAGAATGCAATTAGTAACATAGAGCAATAAACGATAAAATAAATATCAAACAGTAGAAATTCCATCTGATAGCATGATAATGAAAAATGTCTTCGCAACTATTCAAAATGTATTTACGACGCTTACTTGTTGGATTGGGTTTTTTTTTAAAGTAAAATGTACATGAGTTTAATTACTCTGTTGCCCATATTTCGAAACAGGAAAAATGGGGTTAAATTAGTTGTGTAGAAAAGCACCTAACTCTTCTACTTACATAACTCTGAAAGTACTCTTTCAGATTAGAACTGCAACTTGAAAAATTACTTAGTAGAGAAATTGGCTAGTTTCATAAAGGCTAGAATCGGTTAAATAAGAGGATAGCATCATTCTACTACGTCATTAACTGCTGGAAATAGTTGTATTGAAAAGATCTAAGATATAAACATGTTTAGAGGTCAGGGAAATTCGATGACATAAAACAGAATTGACCACAATGGTATAAAGTCATTGATTTTTAGTCTTGGCCTAGATCTTTCAGTTCCAGTATTATTGTATACTTTTTATACCCATATTTCATTACTTCCTAACAAACCATATTCTAAAAATTCAATCTTCCTTATCATCACTATGTTGAGAAATGTTGAATCTTCCAAATGCTACATTTAGAATGAAACCAGTTTTTTTGGATTCACATTGATTTAAAGTAAAATTCATTCAATCACTTTCGCTGTATGTTGATTTATTCAGTATAAAGTTAATTTACGTTATTTTCAATCTATCTTTTATTTTTTATTTATATGAACATGTAAACATAGGTAAAAAGGGTCACCGAATACATATGCGCCACACAATTCACTTGATTTATGTGTGGGCTGTGATAATGTTCGGATGCCCAAACTGAAGCGGGAGGTCTTCTTCGGAGGCCATACCCAGAGCCTTCGACCTAGAGGTCTGATCCACAAGGCAGTGGAGCATCGTAAAGAGATTCAGTCCCATGGTAGCCAGTGGCCAACCATTGATTCATACGCCATTTGTTCCTTCAGGATCCGGGAGTCCACATGCACTACTGGTTTGGAATCAGGTTTTCTAACTCCTCTAGGTGGACTATCCATATCCGCTAACCCGATTAATGCGCCGGACATTTGATTTTCATCTTCTCAATTTGGTAAACAACACCGGTGTTGCGAGAAGGCAATGAGTAGGACTTCCCTGGCAGAGGATATATACGCGTGGCCATATGAGAGCATTTGGAGAGGGAGAGAGGACTCTCCCCACTCTCGGCCGTACCAGAACATTTGGGGGCCAAGGGATTTATTCAGTATAAAGTTAGTTTACGTTATTTTCAATGCATCTTCATTGAATTAATAAAATGCTCCGTAACATAATTTTTTTGCGGAGTACCGACTTCTCAGTTTAATAAATATTAGAATTCATTGATATATAATTTAAATAAAACTGAACGTAACTTAGTTCTTTCAAGGTTTCAACTAAGAGAAGCAGCTACACAAACTTGAACTTTTTATTGCATAGGATAGAACCAGTCTCAGTTATTGTACGAAAGTCGGAGTTGTGAATAATTAGCTTATTATATAAATGTGTCATATTGATTAGATATATATATATATATATGTCTGTTTCCATTTTATTTTCTCTAGTTGTAGATGATGGGGTTAGCGACCCCATCCCGTAGAAAACTAACTCGCTAAAAAACGCTAACCTGAAAGAATTATTAAAACCATTTAAACTCTACCCTGGGAGTCAGGTCTTCATTTAGAAGAGTTATGACGCCTCATGATGAAAGCCGAGTTCCTTCGGAAGTCACGAGGCCGATGCACCTTCTGATAACCATAGCAACCATTTGTTTAGGTACATGGGATGCTCGTACAATGTGGAAGACCGGGAGAGTCTTCCGAATTGCTGCAATTGTAGATTATTATAACCAACTCGTTATGGCTCAAAATACACCAAAAAGATGTTCACTTAAAAAGAATTACAAGTTTTAGGCTAACACCTTTCATTTCTGTAATACATGTAAAAAATGTACTATCTAAACAATTTCTGAACTAAAACACTTTAGACAATCTAACACCCCACTTATCCTTTACATTTGATATTACTATCTATATTAAGCTAATTATGTCTGTAAACTAGTAGGAATACTGCAATCATTATTTTCAGAATATATATTATATTACTATTATATGTGATAACTTGGCCGATTTATGTGTTTGTGCCAAATCCTACTCTCATAATGATCTACTAACTTAGTCATTCAAGCACCATCAACATGGAGCCTGACACATGCGCATCGAACCAAGTTATTATACAGGATTAGCATGACAAGATGAAAATAACAAGATGAATAGCATAAGACATCGAAAGATTGTAATAACAATGATAATGACAAAAATTAAACATAGGTAATACGATTCCAAGAGACGGAATGGGAAGGTATGTATAAAGGAATAATGAAATTCAAGATCAAGAGGAAGAAAAAGAGTGAATGTATTTGGTTCATTGTGAACAAATCTGAACAATGTCGCCCAAAGCCTCCAACCACTGATCGCTATTATCTTCATGACCTTAACCAGGTAGTCTGTATTAGCCAACATGGTTTAGATAAACAATCAATGACTTCATGAGCTGCTGCACTATCTTTGTTTGACCTCTCCTAGCCTTTTTTGAAACTAATCTTACACTGATTAACCGTAAACAAGAGAGGCATATATAAGAAAACGAAATATTGAAATCAATAATAAAATTACCTCAAACTTTTTAGATAAAATATGTCTAGCTTGTAGTACCATAAGACCAGCGACGATGGCATTTGTTGATGCTACGGCCGGTATGATATTCCCAGCTAAAGATTTAATAATAAATCTGGTTAACTGATCAGCACCAGGTAAATGAAATAACTGTGATCGAATAATTGATGCTGAGGCGACAAAATCCATAGCTTCCGAGTCATCCTACAATTTAAAATGATAGTAATAGTAGTAACAGTAATATGAGTATATAAATCATTATTAAAACAAACGAACTGTGGAGATCAATGGGATCCAGGATGCGTGTTTGGTCTGATTTGGAACCCGTCAGCTGGATGAACCTCCATCTCTGTTGATGACCAAAATGGGACTTGAATTAAGTACCTTTTGTTTCAAACATGCAACGAGTTATCCAATAAGCTATTGAGTCCACACATAACCAACAGAAATTGTTCAACAGGTATAATGTTTATATCAATAGTAGTAAACGGCTTAATTATCCTATTCTCGAAATTTACGATGGAATTTTGATCAGTCTTTGTTGACATAAATGCATCATACTGTGCGGATTGCATTGATATAGTTATTTTATGGTACGTGTTTATTTTTGTGAATGTATGAATGGATCATAAATCTGTGCAACTAACAGATGAGCTAAAAACGACGGCTTATAGCGCACTTCGTTAGCTTTAGTTTAGACAAGCAGGTATTACCATCATTAAATATCACACAAAAAACGATACGATGTGACTTAAGGCCTATAAATTGAAATTTTACTTAGTTGTATCGAGCTTTCATGATGATTACGACATTATGGATATGGAGGTCCGTAGTACTTTAGAAGGAAGCATAAAACTGGCATATATCTGAAGACCTGAAAAAAACCTGAACTGAGTTAGATTTCTGGATAGGTGTTGTTCTGTGGAAAGATGATTGACAAATATTAGTAAGCTCTTTTCGACTATCATTACACGTCCATCTCTTATACAGAACACACTATTATGATGTAATACTCCAGGTAGGTAATTTAATGATATACGCGTTTTTATTGAAAACTTCACAAACAATTCTATCATCACAAAGTGTTGTTATGGCGTAATTGCTAATATAACTTATTTACCAAACATAATTTCATATATTACGGTATTGAGTTATACTTAAGCCATCAGGAATAATGATACTAATTGGCTACTTACATCGAAGTGAGAAGAGAGGAGTTTGCAAATCCGCAGCCTATTTATTGAAAGTCAGGTGTACGTCAACTACAAAGTAACTCCATATCAATCTGTAATCGCTAATGATAGTAAATGTTTACTTAAAAATGTTAGCTGATTGAGACTTAGTTTGCAAGGAAGACAAAACCTAAATCAACAATAAAATATTTTTTGACTAAATATTCAGGATATAATATTGTGAATTACCTTATCCCATACTAAGTATTTGTCACCTCCACCATCTTCTACTTGTTTCTGTAGTTTATCAACTGATTTTAAGAATATACGAAGCCAACCCGATGTAGATAGTTTCCGCTGATCACGTAATTCACTGACACATGTTGAATCCAATAATTCATCTGATATTGTGGTTAGATTTAAGTATAGATTTTGTTGAAAAAAAAACAGAAGTCAGTTTACAGCAGTTTATGCGAATAAAAATGATATTAATGATGAATTACGCTATATCAGGCATAACTACAAAGTAGGACCTACCACATGTGTACATCGGTTTAAGTTGTCACAACCTTTTAGCATAGCAAAATGAAATTATCATGATGAATCTTAGAGTAACAGAAACAGTAACAGTATTAGTGGTGATAGTAAAGACTAGGCATCGAATATACGGTTCGAGAGTAAAATATAAATTAGTGAAATAAAACTTATGAGGAATTGAAAAACTTAGTATTTGAAGAAAGACAGAGTGTGAATGCATCTGAGACATTGAGAACGAATTTCAACCATGTCACTCGAAGTCTCTAATGATTGACAACGATGATCAAGAAGACCTCAATCAGGTAATTTACACCTACATACATAGATTAGGCAAACAGTCGATATCTTCATGAACTGATGCCACGAAATTTCGCTGGCCGTCCCTAGCTTTTTCATAACTTATTCCTACACAAATCATTGTGTGTCGAGAGAGTCGGTAGATGTGCATATACAACACACTACCTAACCATCTCAATCAACAAAGATTCACTATGTTGTCAATCGACTGACCACACTTACTTAGTACTTTGCGTTTAACCTCAGAACTGCCAACTTGACGATCCCAAAATATACCAACGCTGTTTCGAGGACACCCATGGCCGAATACTAATAACCTACGAATATCCTGTATTTTTAAATGCCACAGTCAATATTATTTCAGAAGATAGAACGAATTCGTCGAATAAAAGGTATTAAATATTTTTCAAACTAAAAATCTAGAGGAACACGAAGAGTGAATGCATTCGCACGATTGAATTATCTCAACCATTGGTTACATTAATCGTAAGGACCCCAACTAGGTAGTCTGCACTGACCAAACATACATCAACATAAAGCCTGACATAGATGTGAATTTCCTCAAGTTCCTACAGCGCATTAGCATAATGAGACTAAAATAACAAAAGATCCAAATAATGTAGTGATACAAAAGAACCAAGTATTTGGAATACGGTTCGAAAAGACGGAGCGGCAAAACATGCATGAAGAGATACTAGATCGAAAGGAACCATGATGGTCAAGCTACACACCTATAGCAGCATCTAGTAACATGGCTCGGGCCAAGTCAATGACTTGAGAAACCGATGCTACATGTTGGTTTGGTCACCCAAAGCTTCAATCCAAACTACGACTAGAAAATCAAACATCACGTTTCTGGGAAGGTGATGTTTGATTTTTTCCAAGATTTTATGAAATTTAAACACTAAATTTCCAAACATTACTGTAGTATAGTGAGGATTTCAACCGTTTGGATGACATCAAAACACATGTTTACATAGATTAAAACGGATACTATAAACTTTATCGAATGAATAAGAAATATTAATTCCACAATGAAAACAAAGTACCAATCACCTGAATATTTTCCTAATGCATCTTTCATTGTAGTCTTTTCCAAAGGACTCGGTTCTCGACGATCTTGACGGTCGACCCATAAATCACGCATACTAACCAATGTGACAATATCATGATGAAATAATCTCCAAGATAGTGAAATGGCACCAGATGAAATATTACCATTTTCTAAATTAGACTGGTCATTTTCATTACTAGACCACAGAATGTGAAACCATTCTCTTAAACTAATCTGATCAGGTTTAACTGAATTTCCAATCGCTGTACCATCTGTATTTAACACATCATCAGATTTATTAATAAGATCGTTTTTAGCCGGCAACAACTCATCATTAATCTGATTACGATCATGGTTATGCAGACTTGGATCGGTGAAATCCGGAGAGATATCTTCATCATCCACATCAGGTTGACCAAATAACTGACTAGCGAACGGAAAACATAAAAACAATCATCAAGTTGCATTCAGTTTACATAACAGATGACACTAACTGGGGACTTGGCAGACTACGACGGACTCTGGATGGCTATGTCATCCGAATTTTGGACTCCTAAGTGAGGGAGTACATCCAAGGTCCAAAAGTCAAATTAAAACGGTGGGTTAGACACTACTGAGAGCTGTTTATACACCTAATCAAGATTGCAACCACACCCTGTTATTTAGTATAGGGAGGACAATTATATAAATATCCATGATTTGTCTACATTAAAATTCAGCTTATTAATTAAAATCTACCTATTCGTTTCAGTCTTCTCATTTACATAATAGGTCTGATATACTAAACGGAAGTATATATAGAAACTAAACCGCGAAAAATAACTACATAACCATTAGGGTAAAAGTGATCCAGTGCTTCCTGATGCTTAAAAAGTTTTTCAACTGGTAAAATATAACTTGAAACTCAAAAATCTCCACAAAGCCTTTCATTTAATAATGATAAATCACTACTTTGTAAAGATCTAACCAAAATGAAAATATATTGTCAGCACAAACCCAAAATAAGCCGACTTTTTAATTCCTTCTTTACTAGGTACACATAAAACGCTTGTTATAATGTGACAGTGAGGTGTAGGATCTATTAGAGACATTATTAAATTTTATTCTCATTCTCACATCTGTTATAGCACTTTGATTTTGAGCACCCAAATGCCCTGGTACAGCCGAGAGTGGGGAGAGTCCGCTCTCCCTCTCCAAATGCTCTCATATGGCCACGCGTATACAGCCTCTGCCAGGGATGTCCTACTCACTGACTTCTCACAACATCGGTGTTGTTAACCAAATTGAGAGGATGAAAAGCGGACGTCCGGTGCTTTAACCGGGTTGGTGGACACAGAGGGCTCACCTAGGGGAGTTGGAAAACTTTCATTCCAAAAAAATGGAGCACATGGACTCCAGTATCCTGAAGGAACAAATGGCGTATGAACCAATTGTTGGCCAACGGTTACCATGGGACTGCATCTTCTTACGATGCTCCACTGCCTTGTGAATCAGACCTCTAGGTTGAAGACTCCGGGTGTGGCTCCCTAAGAAAACCACCTGCTTCAGCTTGGACACCCTGGCAGTATCACAGCTCACATACATATCAAATGAGGTTTGTGTGGCGCATTTGGTGCCTCCTTGTACCAATATCTATGAGTTAAAATAAATAAACTGCACATGAACTTGGAGCAGAGTACACGGTTATCTCACAGAACTGCTTTAAATCTAAGAACTTGACATAAGAGTCTAGTTCGTAACAGTTGAGCAATTTTGTCAGTACTACTAGTAAAGCTACTGACCCAAATATGTTAGTATGCTATACTTTTTCACAATATCTAGCGGTTCACCCGACTTCTAACTTGGAATAAGTGGTTTGTGACCTTAAAAAGTAGGCATGAAGAGACTGACGATTCAATTATTAGTTGAATACATTTTGGATGAAAGCAATGAATAATAATTTTCTGGTATACACTAGTCCAGATAATACTAATTTATTTCCACTAAGAGAAAGTTGTCGGTATAAATCGTATACAAGTTTAGGAAAATTTAGTTATTCTCACTTGAATAAATACTTTGCCCAAACAACACAATGAATTGGCTCAGATGGAGTGTTACGTATGGTGCAGGCTGGATAGTGACGCTGACCTAATCCACGAGGTTGACATTCATAACATCCTGTACGATAGGTTGTCGCTTGATTCGCTTCTGTGTTGGTGGCCTCCGATTCACTCGTTTCAACTACGGGAATTAACGGCTCGACTTGTCCCAAGTAACCAGCTGTGCCGGACTCAATTAAGGGAATCTTTGCCGATATACACATACGATTCACATGTTTCCTTGCAGCTGTATGGAAGTTAATAACGGGAATATGAATGTGACGCTATAAACAAATAAAAAGAAGTCCTAAGTGCTACCCCTTCAAGAACAATTTTAATACAATCCCTTTTACTTGTTTGATATCAGTATGGTGTCAAAGATAATGTCCTTGTATAAGTGATTACAAGCTTTTTTTAATTATAACGAGGAAAACGTGGATGGGACAAAAAATACGAAATAAACTGACGGGATATGAGAACATTGAAGAAGTAATTTATGTGAACCTACATATCATATTTAAGTCAAAGGAAAAAATAAAAGCTTAAAGCTTACAAACTTTAAGACATCTAATTTGAGTATTTTAAAATAGTTAATTATAGTAAAGAAACGACAAGCAAAAACTACAAATTTCCTGAATACTTAATTACGAATTAGTATATGGATGAAGTACTGAAGCTGTCCAGCTAAAAGAATGCGACACCACGAAAACTATTTCAATGGACTTAGATTATTTTATTAAAATTACTTTTAGTGTTGGTTCAAACTAGCTGGATAATGTACGAATACCATAATTGTTTTTAAGGTCAGTAGTGAAATTCAGTCAGGCAGTAACAACGTAGAACTTCGTACGTACGTACATCAGTTCGAGTTGCCATACCACATTAGCACAGAGATGCAGTTGTCGATTCAAATCACGTAGTGGAAGTGGTAGTAGGAGTATAAGCAGTTATCGGAAACATTAGGGTTTGGAGATGTTATTCAAAGAGTAAAATCCAGTGAAATAAATTTGGGAAGAGAAAAAAGAGACAAGGAGGAATCAGGAGATCAAAATTTTGGAGAACACAAAGAGTGGATGCACCTGCGCCATTGCAAACGATTTTGAGCCATGTCATTCAGGGTCTCTAACCATCGGTTGCTATCACCTCGCAGATCTCAACCAGGTGATCTACACCTACCAACATGACTCAGTCAACTTGTCAGTGACTTCATAGATTTGTGACATGTTTTGGTCTGGCCACCCCTAACTTTCTTCCAACCTACTCCTACACCAGAAAACATCGCTAGTCAGGGCAGTCAGTGGTTGGGCATATGTAACACGTGTCCCAGCCATCTCAACTGATGAAGTTTCACTACTTCGTCAACTGATTTGCCATCTTTACCTACTACCCGTTTCCTAACAACTGCGTTACTTATTTAATGGTCCCAGGATATACGAGCAACGTTTCAAAGACACCTGTGATCAAATACTAGTAACCTACGAATATCCTTTACTCTTACCGGCCATGTTTCAAAACTATAGTTCTTAGGGGTCAATATGTGTGTTTGAAGCTAAAAGTATTTGACGGAACCTGAAATGTGTGACCAAGTCCACTTCTTTGTTGTTAATTGGAACTTACCAAATCAAATATGGATAACCGAATATTGAACTAGCCCTTCTACAAATTATAGCATGAAACCGAGTATGTGAACCTGAAACTGACTGATGAGGTATTTCTCAAATCATTAGCACTTTCCCCTGAAGTTGAATCAAAACACATTCCCATCAAATCATACGTTGAATTTCTAATATACCATATTTATATCACTCACTAAAGTGTAGTGGTTTGACAGTTAAAGTATCCAAATTTTAGCTACTAAATCCAAGGTTCGAACCTCAGTCCATCTTCGATTTGAGTAAGTGAGTGGTATCATAAGTCTCTACATTAAGTGTGGTTCATTTCCAGGTACCTGGTAAATGAATTAATCACATCTACATATTGTTACCTGTCTAATATGCAGGGGTGTATCATTAGTCTAAACGCTAGAATATATACATGACATTTCAAGTTTGTCACTTTTCATAAACATGAAGAATAAAGTCATTAAAAGGGGAATAATGGAATGAAAACATTACTCTCAACAGTGGTATGAAACAAGAGAATAACCACCAATTTGTACGCGCATAAAACTAGAAAACGGAGAAACAATGAACAGAACGAAGTTCATGATTTAGATAGAAAGTGCGACAGATGAATCTGATTCATTGACGTCTACTACGAGTTCCATTAACCTCTAACGGTAAGGTGACATTTCATTACATGCTTCATCCAAGATGAAAAGCAGTGTCATTATTTATTTGTTTGAACACAAATATTGGAACAAGGGGGCACCAAAATACTTATGCACTATACAATAACAATGAGGTTGTGAAGAGAAAGATAATGCAGTGTGTATAATGAAAAGAAGTACAGCAACAAACAGAATTTGTGCATGAGTAAATAATAATAGGAAAAACGGTTCAGTTAACCAAAATACAACCATAAAGAATTCTTTCAGTTAAAGAAGTTACGTTCACTTTTATGAAGTAAGAGAGTTACAGTAGGATCGTAACAGGCTTCTATTCTGAGCCATGTCTCGTAACGTCCCAAGCCATTGTATTGCACCATCTCTCGGACTAAAACCACCGAGCCGTGAAAGTTTAACAGAAGCCAGTCCTGTATAGCTTTCTCATGCCACAACACCATCTCATACACTGATCACCTCTCTGCTTTGTCCAACCTGTCCCAGCGTTGGTAAATTATACACGACGTGGAATTCTCTGAACGACATTTGTAGATCATATCCGCACCGCCGAAGTCGATGTTTCAAGATAGTGACACTAATTGAATTATCGTCATTATGCTCGAACACATGATGCCGAACGTCTGTATTACTAATATGGTGTTTCCATTGGACGTCAGTGATCCTTCGGAGACAATGATGATCAAGCACACAGAGAGTCGTCTAACATCCTTAACTCGGAGGCCAGGTCTCACAAACACAGAGCACAACTGCTCTCACCGACGCGTTGTAGATTCGACCTTTTACAGACAAACTGACATCACGAAGGCGCCAAAGATGGCCCAGATTGGCATAAGCCGCTCTGGCTTTCACTATACGTACATTGATCTCATCACTCACGCCACCACCAGCACTTATGCAGCTACCTAGATACACGGACTTTTGGACCTCTTCTATCCGCTCACTACTTAGTGTGAGTACAGGATCTGGGTCCTGCCAGTCTTGTAAAAGTACTTTTATTTGTAGTGAGGCTGTTTATTATTTACAATTGATAGTTTTCCCAATATGCATCAATTTATTTGATGCATGTAAAAGTTCGATACAAACACTCGTCAAAATTAAACTTCTCAGTTTACCTATAAAAAGTAGGAAGAACTACGCTGTTATAACGCGGCATAAAAAAACAATTTAATGTATACATGACAAGAAAGATTTGAAGTTTTGAAGCTAATGCTAAATTAAACAGCATAATCGAGCACCTCCAATACTTACCAAGATTATCTAAAGCGTTAAAAACAACGGCAAACTTTCCGAAGAATTCAGAGTCGAATGACGAGCTAGTATTAGATGAGAAATTTCAATAATAAAAGTTACCTGAAGATACTTTTGTGATAAGCAACAATATGAGCGGTTGGTTTAAATTCCAATACATTGTCCCTGGCAGTCTGAGTCAGAAATTATACTAAAATCAGCCACAAACTTCTGCTTTTGAACGCCCAACATGCTTCTTACTGAACAGGAATTGTCTGTTTAAGTTGCTTACATCGATGGTGTCAAGGTCTACCTAAAAACCGCAAAGAATGACGAAATGTTGTGTCATACAATCGTTATGTCATTGAATCCATTATAAACTAAATTCTTCAACAGCTCACACCCGATACCACCAGCTCCAACAAGTAATACAGAACCGTTCGACTTCGCGCTCATTTTGTCCTTGGATTGTGAGACAGAAAAACATCTAACTTAATGCTTCATTCAGTATGAATAGAACTTTGACATTTTATAATCAAATCTATCTTAAGATGGCCTTATGATGATTGTGCTGACAGCTATTGTAGTAACATATTTTTATTATCCAAGTAACAGAACATTTATGAAGGCAACATTTTCAAATGGTTCAAATGGTTGTGGATAGAATAGAAGAAGCTTTCGCTCAACAGGCTCCCGTGTCCAGTGGCAGTGGATCATCAATACCTCCGAGCAGGAACCTGGATATATTAACGATAATAGAAATTGGTAAATCATAATAAGATGTTATCCTTAGTCCTTAAGAATATGTCAAGTTTCCACTTGAAGGACTCCTAGGAAGTCGATTGGACTAGTTCAGTCGGCAGCGAATTCCAGCATTTGACAATTCTTACGAAGTAAAAGTTGTGTCTGCAGTCCGTTCTGCTATGTTGTATCTCCAATTTCTGCGTGTTAACCCTTAGTTTTGTGTTGGGACTAAGCCTAAGTACGTGTTTGAGGGTATGTCCAGAAGTGTTAAGGAAGGTCACCTCTGAGACTCCTATACTCTAATAAGCAAAGGTCAAGTAATTGGAGGCGCTCTCGATAAGGTTTGAATTTGAGTCCCCGTACTGACTCCGTGGCTCGCCGTTGGATATGCTCCAAAGTGTCCTTATCCTTTTGGAGTGAGGGGGAAATACTATGTTTCCGTACTCTAAATGGGGACAGATAAAACTGTCGAAGGCTATGTGGAAAGTTCTTCCGTCAAACTGGCCAAAAATGCGCTTCAACCTTACTAGTGCAAGGTTTTCTCGAAAGGCATTTTTGTCACAGTTAGCGTTAGACTTCGAACCCTAGGGTACCAGGATTCCTAAGTCTCTTTTGACTTGGGATACTATTAGAGAGAAGTTTATAAGTTGTGACTGTAGTCCGCAACATGTCCCAGATGGACTACTTTGCACTTTGAAGTATTAAAGGTAGGTCCGTTACTGTCTGCCCAACTTTGAAGTTGAGTCAGATCCTCCTGAAGTGTCCGTATATCGTCTTGGTTGCGTATCCCTCTCCACAGCTTCACGTCATCGGCAAAATGTAATAAGTCTGAAGACGCCTGTTAAGGAAGATCATTTATATAAATCAAGGAGAGAAGAGGCCCTAGTACTGAGTCCTGGGGAACCCCACTAGGACATTCCATAGCCTGAGATAAAGTGAGGTTAAACCTGACCTTAAAATGTCGATTTTTCAGATATGAAATGAGCCATTCAACTAAAGGTGGTCTGATACCCAATTGTTTGAGTTTATAGATAAGACATATATGGTTGACTCCATCAAAGACTTGAGAAATCAAGGTAAATTATGTCAACCTTCCCCTTGCGATCAAGGATGCTTGTCCATTTGTCCACCGCAGTCAGCAGGTTGATTATACAAGAGTAACCCTTCCTGAAACCATGCTGTTGGAGTGAGAAGTTGCAGCTGGTGCGCTCTTACAGAACAGGTTTCCTGTAGATGTAGCCTATATCGACCTTAGCAAGGCGTTTTACAATTCCACGCAGCTATCTATTATCTGAATGAATAATATCGGGATTGGAGGCAATTTCTTAATGTAGATAAAGCACATCCTAGTTACGAGTCAATTAATAGTACAGATGAACTTGTTGTCTAGATGAGAAACTGTGCTTACCAAAGGGCTTCAGTATTAGTATTGGGGCCAGTGTTGTTTGTAGATGGTATAGAAGATTTTTAGCTCAGGTGGATGATTTTGATGGAACATAAGGACAAGTTTAAGGTCACCATGAACCAATAAACGTCGAGGTGTACAGGACAAGCCGTGAAACACATGTGGAGAAGTTCGAACACTTCAATTCTACCTGAAGTTTGTGCTGATGATGTCGTTCAGAAGAACGTTGAAATCTCCAAGACTTAACCATCCAGCTCAGAGAACAAAACTCCATCAAAACCAGTGTTTTTTCACCTATATGTAAGTGATCTTCCTAGTCTCCTATCATCGGTTTAGATATATTCTGCTAATATCAAAATATAGAGGGCGATAAAAAAGTAAATGTGATAGTTTAGATCTTTAAAATTGGCCGGGAATGTTGTTTGAATGGTCTAGAAATTTTCAGTTACCGATAAATGCTCCCAAGTACACTATGATGCATACTGGTTATCGGGGTGCCGATACATACAGGATGAATAACACTGAGCGACCTGTTGTCCAGACAAACAATGATCCAGGAATCATCGTTATTCATGACTTAAAGACTGTTAAACACTGCCGTTCGATAGCCGCCGGTCGTTTCAGAATTTTATGATCAATCCTACACTCGGGTACTCTATACAAGCGACTAGACTCTGCCAAAAAGACTCGGTGAGCGTTTAGCACATGTCTAAAGGACTGCAACTAGGCTGATTCCTAGACAGAAAAGCCTCTGTATGTCGCTCGACTGGTTAAATTAAACCTATATATATATAGGGCGTACTACTAGGCAACGTAACCAATGAATGAATGAACATGTACCAACTTGGTACATAAAGGGCCAGATAAAATCTATTCGAAATTCTATATTGGCACATCCCATTGATAGCGGTCATGCTGTAGATAAATCGAAATCATTTCGAGTTATCTATCGTATACCTCCATCATTTCCCGACGGAGTTCGTTCCCGCCTCCTACATATAGCTGAAGCCATTGGGATTCGTACATATAACCCCAATTTATGTATACAGAAGAAATACGTAACCCCCCTATTCCTTCCATGGCCAGTTATAACTTAACTAACGATATGTTTTTAAATTTTATTATTATCATTATTTATTTTATTCTATTTGTGTTATCGTTAACCTTATTTCCACATCCATTATTTGTTTGTAATTTTCCGCCTCTTTGTATTCTTCACTATCTAATTATTTACACACATCTTATTACGTAATGATTTTAATGTTTTGTGATTACTATTCCTAGTCTATTTACCCATGTTTGACCTTCTATTTCCAACGTTTTACTATTGGTAAGAGTTTTGTTATTGTATTTCATTATTCTTACTATTATCAGTTCACTTGTCTTCCTACTATCAATTTGTACTTTTACCTATTATGTGTAGAGACTTATTCTATTTAATTGTGATTATTGACCCATATTGCCTTGAATGGTTTAGATTTTCGTATAAATATTCATGTATATTAGAGTAAAGCCTGATGACGATCTAATTGAAAACAATTGTTTGCTTATATGTGTTGTTCTATCATGTCTTTAGTGTTTTTCTGAGGTATTATATTTTTGTGTTCTCAGACTTTTCCTCTCACACGTCAGTATATATTGCCGTCATTACTTCGAAAAAAAGATAACCGAAATGTTGAAGATTGATATGCTTCGCCACCACATGTCAGCTCATATCAATCCAGCTCGATAATATCGAAACTTGGTTCTGTTACGCAGAATGTGACTTCCACAAACACAGAGTGATAGACCTTAGTGCGCAAATTCTCGCAGTAGTGAAGGCACTGTAGCGCAACTTCAAAAGTGAGATTACTCCTGGTATGGTTTTAAGTGATGTTTCCGAATCTTACAACATGTTAAAACGGACTATCGTTAAACTGAGAGAACTAAATGATCGGAAAATGTTAGACAGTCTGTTCTATAAAAGACAGTTGTAAAGTGGCTTAGCAACAGAAATGTTGCTAAGTAGGCGGAAGTTCATTGGTTTCTCTAGATAACACTTCTTATCTGGGCTTCCCTAATAGGTGCCAGAGGTTCCCGTCTCATTCTTAAATGACTCTAAAGAAGAACTAGCTGTATTTGATCATGGAATACTCCAGATCACCAGAATCCCTAAAACTGAGTGTAGGATCCAAACACGGTTTGTATGTTGAAGAATAGCCTTCCGGGGACTTTAGACACGCGCCCTTTCCCGTCGAAATCAAAACAAGTAATCGGGTAACTAGCGGTTCTATAATTCATAATAAATTTAATATAAATCATTACCTAAACAAATATTATCACCCGGCTATTCAACCAATGATTGTTCAATCAATTAAATCTAAATTACACTAAATAAAGAAGTTGATAGAAGATGAGGAAAAATTACCAATCACAACAAATGAACGTTATTCTATCCTGACTGGATAGATCACACACAACAGGAGGAACAAATCAATATGGCTACCGCCAAGAACAAGTGTCAAGTAAAACAACGCAGATGCAGTTGAGGAAGAAACACAAACTTAGTGAATGCGTAATAAAAACAAAAAACTATAACAAAAATACAAATATTAACAATTCAAATGTAATCAAGATACAACAATGTACAACTAATATGATCAATAGGAATAAAGTACAAGTTTATACATGGAGGGATTTTCACCAACACATAAAACCTTCGACATGGATCTTACACTGAGGTTTAGTCTCCCAAAGAAAAGCATTTAACGACTTCAGGTAGTCACGTCACAACAAATTTACAATTAATGAATGAGTTTATTAGTCTAGTAGCATGGATAAATTCATTAATACCCACACAAACAATAATTCTAAACATCTTCAAGTGTAATAACTACGTCCTTTTTCTATAACGTTTCTGTTTCCATCGTTTATAAAGCTCCTCTAATCCCACACAGCCCTAATTTTTCATCAAAAATATGTCATTCATAGTCTTTTTAAACTGCGTTCTCAACCGAGACGTTCATTACTTTTTTTAGAGGTATTACGTGAAAATCTGCGTAAACCTACCGTCTTATGCAATATGTGAGTTACGGTTCAGGGAATTTTTCCGTTTTTATGAATACATTCCTTGAGCTAATCCCGCTGCATTTCACCCCTGATTTGTAGGTAGAAGTATTTTTGGTGACTTAGTTCAGTATAAACATGTGCAACGTTTTAGCAAAGTCTGTTTTATCCTTACACAACGAGTGTTGCTGATAATTATCACTTCAGTAAGCAAGCCTAAATGCCATCGACATTAAATTAGGAATAGAGGTTACTAAGGAAG